TCCTGCCTGAAAGAAGAAAGGGAGAAAGGAGATACAGAGAGAAAGGGAGAAAAGAGAGATACAGAGAGAAAGAGAAGGAAGGGAGAAAGAGAGATACAAGAGAAAGAGAGAGAAAGGGAGAAAGAGAGATACAGAGAGAAAGAGAGATACAGAGAGAAAGAGAAAGAGATACAGAGATACAGGAGAAAGGAGAAAGAGAGAACAGAGAGAAAGGGAGAAAGAGAGAGGACAGAGAGAAAGGGAGAAAGAGAGACAGAGAGAAAGAGAGAGAAGGAGAAAGAGAAAGAGAGAGAGAAAGAGAGAGACAGAGAGAGACAGAAAGACAGAGAGAAAGAGAAAGGAGAAAGAGAGAGACGAGGGAGGGAGAAAGAGAGAGACAGAGGGAAAGAAAGAAAGAGAGAGACAGAGGGATAGGGAGAAAGAGAGAGACAGAGGCGAAAGGGAGAAAGGGAGAAAGAGAGAGACAGAGAGAAAGGGAGAAAGAGAGACAGAGAGAAAGGGAGAAAAGAGAGAGACAGAGAGAAAGGGAGAGATAGAGAGAGACAGAGAGAAAGGGAGAGACAGAGAGAGACAAAGAGAAAGGGAGAAAGAGAGAGAAAGGGAGAAGGGAGAGAGAGACAGAGAAAGAGAAAGGGAGAAAGAGAGACAAGAGAGAAAGGGAGAAAGAGACAAAAAAGGGAGATAGAGAGACAGAAAAAGGGAGAAAGAGAGACAGAAAAAGGGAGAAAGAGAGACAGAAAAAGGGAGAAAGAGAGACAGAGAAAGGGAGAAAGAGAGACAGAGAAAAGGGGAGAATGAGAGAAAGGGTGAAAGAGAGACAGAGAAAAAGGGAGAATGAGAGAAAGGGTGAGAGAGAGAGAGAGAGAGAAAAAGGGAGAATGAGAAAGGGAAAATGAGAGAAAGGATGAAAGAGAGAGAGAAAAAGGGAGAATGAGAAAGGGAGAAAGAGAGAAAAAGGGAGAAAGAGAGAGAAAGGAGAAAGAGAGAGAAAGGGAGAAAAAGAAAGAGAGAGAGAAAGGGAGAAAGAGAAGAGAGAGAGAAAGGGAGAAAGTGAGAGAGAGAGAGAGAGAAAGGGAGAAAGAAAGAGAGAGAGAAAAGGAGAAAAGGTGAAAGAGAGAGAAAAGGAGAAAGAGAAAGAGGAAAGGAGAAAGAAAAAGAAATTGAGAGGGAGGGAGGTGGACTGACACATACATCTGTTAGGGCAGTTAGCTAAGAGTTGGTCGAGTTCAAATTCATTTCTTAAGGGGACCGTCTTTTTTTTATTTTATTTATTTATTATTATTTTTTATTATTATTATTTTTTTTAACCTTTTTAAAAAATCTCTCTTGGCGAATTTGATGAAACTCCCACTCTTTCATTTAGTCGCTCCCCTGATCCCTGTGGTCATTTTTTTTTTTTTTTAATCGGCCAAACAGTTTTTGAATTATTGTCAAAAAACTGAAAAATTGCAAAGCTCTCACTTAGAAAATTGACAAAATGGGAAAAATTATTTAAAATCCAGAAAATATTATACATGCATTCTGATGTGATTTTTTAACAGATTCACCCTAGATCTAGTGCTTGTTCATAGCTGTTTTTTTTTAACACACTTGTTGTTTTTACAAGAAGCACAGGCAAAAATTGGAAAATCCATCTCGAACAAGCAGTAGATTTTTTATTCAGCTACAAAATAAGCCATAAAACTTAGTATTTTGGACTAAAATTGTGTCTGATACAGCTTTTGCGCCTACAAAGGTGGTGTATCGCGATTACAAAGGTGGTGTATCGCGATATCGGCATTGTTCGTTTTCTTCATCTTTCCATGTCTATGTTGGTATCAACAAAATAAGATATAAGAAAAGTCTCTCTACACCATAATCCTCTATCATCTACCTGCATTCTGAAGTCTTCTGGACATTGCCAGCACATAACGGTTTCTCAAAATCTTACGTATAGTATAGAGTGGTGGCAGTGATCTGGGGGGCTATAGGCCTACATTGACCACTTAAAAAAATTTCTCAAAAATCCAAAAAAAATCACAGCCATTCTGATTTCATATCTGAATAGAACTATCCTTCTACTATAATATGCAGAAGCCTTTTTTTAGAAGTCAACCTTACTCTTTTTTTGGTGAATATTTTCCAAATCCCACTATCTCGACACCCTAAAAAGGGATACTGAAAATATGTCACTTTTATAAGAAGCACATGAAAATACTGTAAATCCTTATTGCATCATGTAATAGATCTATCATCCACCTACAAAATGAGCCATAATACGTTAAAATCGGACTGAAAATACGTGTGCTATGCATAAAAATGTGAAGGACCTAATAATCGCGTGCTTTTTTGTTTGATGATTTTTTTTTTTATTTTTGTGTGTGTGTGTGTGTGTGTGTGTGTGTGTGTGTGTGTGTGTGTGTGTGTGTGTGTGTGTGTGTTGTGTGTGTGTGTGTGTGTGTGTGTGTGTGTGTGTGTGTGTGTGTGTGCGTGTGTGTGTGTTTTCTGATATTTCTAAAAG